ACTTGATCCAAATGGATAGAGTGGTGCCGACATCCAAGAATGAATAAAATGGGGAAAAGGAGTCCGTGGTCTTGATTCATCCCCATAAATTTGTTAATATGTTGGTTGATAACCATCTATCTCCTATTGATTTTCCACATAATGAGAAGGTGAATAATTTTGATGAATAACAAAGGACCTTGAATTATTTGTTTCAGTTAATTCGATGCTAGAAATGGTTGATGGTCAAAATCCTCAATCATAAAAAATCCTTCTCTTCTTTTTTCTTTTTTTTAGTAGTGAATAAGGGGAGAAAGATGATGGTTTCATGAATGCTAGAACTTTGAGAAAGGAAGTTTGTGAAGAATGGGAGTTTATTACTAAATCTAATATTGTGCATGGTACTGTGGACCAAAAATAAAAAAAATATTATGTAAGCTGTGACTCATCATCTTCATCACATGAGGGTAGTTATTCTAATTTAGCGAGGATGACGGGTTTACTAAAGTCGGAAGAAATAAATTAAATCAATAAGGCTCCTATGACCTCTACTCCTTGTTCTACTTGAGCTCAAACTTCTTTAAAAGATATTAATGGTTAAATCTCTTATATGGAATATGAGGGGCATTGGGGGACCTAACTCTAGAGATAGAATTAGAAATTTATGTAGAGTTCATAATATCCATCTGTCGGTTTTAATTGTGCCTTTTATTTTGTTAGATAAATTAGATTTTGTTGCTTCTCTTATTAGCTTTTCTATGAAATTTGCTAATTATTTTAATATAATTTTAATTTTGCTGAATAGTTCAGTTAGTGTTAATGTGATTCTTGATCACCCTCAAGTCGTTTACTGTGAAATTGCTCTTTTTAATATTAAGTATAATGCTTCTTGCTCTATGTTGGGCCATTTTCCACTTTGGGAGCAATTATTAGAAATTGCTATTAATTCTAATGGTCTTTGGTGTCTTGGTGGTGACTTTAATATAATTTTTATTTCCTCAGAGAAAATTGGTATTAATCCTCCCAACCAACATGATGTGAATGACTTCAATGCTATGATTACTAATAGTAATTTGCATGACATTGGTTATTCTGGTGGTGCCTTTATGTGGAATAGAGCCACCTTGTGGCAAAGATTTGACATAATCTTTTTTAATACTAATTGAATTTCTGATTTTTGATAACCAATGTGGAACACTTAAGTGGAACTAAATTTGATCATTCCCCTCTTCTTTTAAGCATTAATTCTAATAGTTCTATTATCCCTTCTACTTTTAGATTCCAAAACATGTTATTAAATAAAGAGTTTTTGAATGTGGAAGATAACAATTAACATGCGCCAATTTTTCCTAACAACAACTTTAATGTTATGAACATATTATGGTCTAAATTGAGTAGATTGAAGCCAAAACAAAAAATGGTGGAATAAATATGTTTTCATAAATATTTTTGATAACATTAGGGAGACCGAAAATAAAGTCTGGGACTTGGATTGCTTCTATTCGAATGATCTTAATAATGATTTGCTGCTTTCTCCTAATAAAGCTAATGATCATATCTTTCAATTCCATAAGGAAGAGGAATCTTTCTAGAGGCATACAAGAGGCTTCCAATTTTATTTTGAAGGGTGATAAGAATACTAATTTCTTTCATGCGGTTACAAATAAAAAAATGGTTATGAATTATATTCATAAAATTACTAATTTTGATGGTACCTCTTATTATTCTGAACAATTGATTTCCAATTCTTGGATTAAGTTCTTTAAGAATATTTTTAATAATAATTTTAATACTATTCCTATCTCTAATCCCTATATTATTCCCAACAATATAAGGGAGGATCATAATCTTTTACTTACTCAATGCCCCTCTAAAATTGAGATTTGGGATACTGTTAAAGGTATGAATGCATATTTAGTTGTGGGTCATGATGGGTTTACTACTAAATTCTGTTAGAAATCTTGAGATATTATTAAGATGGATATGATGGAGGCTATGAAGGATTTTTTTGGTAAGAATCCTTATCCTAATTTTTTTCCTTTTCTACCATTATTTGAACTACTAAAAAAGAGGCTTCAAATCATTGTGTTGATTTTAAGTCCATCATCCTTCAATCTTTTGTTGACAAATTAAACTCTAAAATCATTGTGGAGAGGTTGGTTACCATTCTCCTTAGAATTATTTCTCCAACTAAAACTAGTTTTCTAAAAGGTCATAGTAATTTTGGTATTGTTCTTTTGGCTCAAGAGATCATTAATAATATTAATGCTAAAAGAAAGGGGGAAAATATCATTTGTAAACTAATATCACTAAAGAGTATCATAATCTTAATTGAAAATTCCTTTATTATATTTTCACTTTATTTGGCTTTAACTCTTCCTTCATTGGACTTATTAATAATAACATTGAAAAAAATTAAATGATTATTAATGGGAATAATTATGGTTTTTTCAAGTCTTCTTAGGGCTTGAGACAAGGGGAATCCATTTCCCCTGCTATGTTTATTATTGCTATTAAGTTTTTGTTTAGAGGCATTGAGTATCTTTATAATAGGTACCCCAGCTTCTTTATCACACTTTAGGTGGTATTCTTATAAATCACCTTAGTTTTAGGTGGTATTCTTACTAATGATTTTATTATTTTCTCAAACGGGTCTCTTAACAAAATCTACATTTTACTTAATTTTCTTACTTATTTCCAAAACATTAGTGGTTTGTCCATAGAAAAAGAAAATATCTATTTCATTGTTTCTAAAACTTAATCAATGTAGGATTAATGCTATTCAACAAAAATGTGACTATTTCTAAATTTTTGCCTATTAAATACATGGGGACCCCTCTTTTTAAAGGTAAGAAGAGGTATCATTTTTTTGAGGATATTTTTATTGCTATTCAAAGGAAGCTTTCTACCTAGGCATTTAATTTACTTTCATTTAGTGGTAGGCTTACTTTAACTAAAAGTGTTCTCAATTCTTTTCATGTTTATATCTTTAATACTATTCAACCCACTAAGATCATTTTTCTTAGAATAGAGAGAAATAAAAAAAAATTAGGGCTCTAAGAACAATTGATTTTGTATCCATTGGTATTCTTGGAAAAAAATGACTGGTCTTTTTGATTAAGGAGGCTTGGGTTACAAGAATAATGTGGATATGACTCAAGCTTTCTCTCATAAATTATATATTTCTTTTAGATCTATTAATACTCTTTGGGCTAATTTTATGTGGCAAAAGTATTGAAATAGTTCTCATCCTCTTTCTTTCAATTATAAGTCTTTCGATTCTATGGTTTGGAAAAGACTTTGCTATATTAAATGGGAGGCCTAACAGCATATTCAGTGGGGTATGGGTCAAGGTAATGCATTTTTTTGGTAAGATAATTGGATTGAGACATATTCTTTTGATAATATTTTAAGCACTCATACTCTTGAGTCCATTAAGGTTAAGAGTTTAGTTTATAATGGTAACTAGAATGTTTATAAATTATCAAAGTTTATTTCTTCTCATTTAGTTGATATTATCTTAACAATTACTTTATAGTTGCATACTGAGGATTTGATTTTATTTAATTTATCTTCAACCAGTAAGTTTGTTCTGAATAAAGTTTGGAATACCTTAGGATCATTTGTGATGAATCTTCAATTTTCTTAGCACTTTGGCAAAAGAATATTCTATTATCATATTCCATTTTTATGTGGAGAGCTATTCATAACTTGCTACCTGTTAAAGATTTACATACGAAAAAAGGTTTCTATTTGCTTCAAAATGCCAGTGTTGTTTTAGTATTGAAATTATGAAGCATATTTTTGTGAATGGTGCGGTTACAATTAGATTTTGGAGAGATATTTTTTTTTTATTTTTGTGACAAGGGTAATTTTAACAATTGTAATGATACTGTGGCTATTCTTTTTTGTTTGTTAAATTCTATTAAGTTTTGTATTTACTATTTGCACCTATTATTGTTATGTGTCTCCTTTGGATGGAAAGAAATGATTTTAAGCTTAGAGACATTAAAATGGGCTTTAGGCGTACTCTTTTCAAAGTAAAAGATAAAATTTTGCAATTTCACTATGTTAATCTACTCCAGATAGAAACTTTAATAATTGTAATGCCATTTCTATGGATTTGGGTATTTCCACTAGTAACTAACATATAGATAAGATTCAAAGGATTGTGAGGTGGATTAAGCCTTCTATTCATGGGATTATTCATAACCATTTGGGAAAGTTCATTTTTCTTTTATTGGTCCTTTAAATTATTCTAAAGATATTAGCGTCGATCTTATGACTATTTCTTATAGCCTTGCTTTGTGCCAAAGCTTGAGTATTTCAAATCTTTAGCTTGAAGTGGATGTCATGCTCTTAATTCTTTTCTTGAATGGCAATGTGGTTGGTAGTCATGATAATTTTTATCTAGTTAGAAAATTAATTTGTCTCTTAAAGATTTGAATAACTCTATTTTCCATATTAATCGTGAAGTGAATTCTTGTTCTAATTGGTTGGCTAAATTTGGTTACCAACTGGTGTCTTTTTAGAATTTTTATGGTTTGAATTGACTTCAACCTATCAGAGGTATAGTTATTCTGGATAAGTCGGGTTTGCCTTATATTAAGATATGATGATGTGATTCTTATGCTCCTAGTTTTGGCTTTCTTTTGGTTTTATTTTGTTCCATCATGGTTATTTCTGTTCTCCCTTTTGCTTCTATTATTTTTTTTTTTGCTTTCTCTGGGCGAGCACACTTTTTGTTGACCCCTATAACTACAAAAAAAAAAAATCATCATAAATTTTATATGGGTGATTCAGCTCGAATTTGAATTTCATTGTGATTTTTGTTTGCCATGCAGTAATTGAGAAAGCAATCAAATGAGGAGCATCGAGTTCTTGCTAACGAAATGGATTTGTACAGAAAAAATATTTCTCTTCTATCTATAGTGGAGGATGGCGGTATGGGTTAGATGCAATTTCCTTAAAATGTGGGTTTGTGTTTTCAACAACTATGATGTGAAAAAATAATTACAGATATGTTGGAATTTCATAAGAAGAAGATGCCTCATTTGGAGACACTTGAGGCATTTCAAGATAGTCTTCGAATTGAGATAATGTCCAAAAAGTTCTTACTTATGCTGGATGACATTTGGGAGGCTGATGAGAAGCAGGATAAAAGCAAAATGGAAAGTGTGCTCGCCCCTCCATCTTATGAAGGTTTGGGAAGTAAAATTTCGATAATAACTTGGATGGACCTAGTTGCATTGATGATTGCAAAGAATTGGGTCAGAATGACATACTTCCCATCTTAAGATTGAACCACATGTTCTCCCAAGGCATATACAAAATTGTTTTATTCGTCACAACTTCTTATCGAGAGGCATGAACAACTCTACAAATATGTGTTACATGCAATTGCCCTCGAATGATTTTTCTGGACGGCATATAATTGGAAAGAAAAACTATCTCGAACAAGTAGATTGATTTTATGTTTAAAAAAAATGCTTTAGAATTATAGAGCTAGAGCATATGATTGAGCTTCTCCAGTTAAGAATCAAACTTTTTGCCAAGAACGTGCTCGACGACCTTCAACTACCAAAATGTCTAGGGAATTCAAGTGAAAAGAAATACACGGGTGCAAGGTCTACGATAGGGATGAACAATGCCAATCCGAGCCTTAATTCAGAGAAAATTAAATTCACATGTTGCTTGGAGCACGAAAATTCTTTCACATTTTTAGATCGAGCATGAAATAGTTCGAAGGCAAATCCAATGGGAATGATGAATGTTGTGTCTTTCCAATGCTAGAGGGATTATATTTTCCAATTAAAGGCGTCAAAAGATTGATTCGAGGCAGGGATAACTACCAAAGATGGATGCTTGTTCCCTTGTTCAATTAAATTGGAGCTATTTTGTTGCTCACAGCCAAGGGATAATTTAGATTTTATTCCTCTCGAGATGGTAACAATCTTTAGCTACTCAAACATTTCGTCGCTTAAACTATAGCTAATGGAATGGTAAGGCTTGCGGCTTTAAGATACTTGATAATTATGAGGAGCCCCAATCCGATCTCTCTCGAAAAAGATTGATGAATGGAGATCACAAATAATTGCCATATCATGCTCTTAACCCACTAAATTCAACCCAAATAGCCTACTAACACCTCCTTTCCTTCACATCCTAAGCATCCATTCAACCTTCTCCACTTATCTTGCCAGCCCACTTCCAAAAGCCCACAACGTTTCTTCCCTTCCACTTCCAATAAAAACCCATATCATATTATCTTGTATACCTACATCCCACTACACTTTACACTAATAATGACAGAATCTAAAGGAAAAAAAATTAGCATTTATAAGTCAAATGAAACTTCAAATCAAGTTAAATGCATACCTCGTTTGAGTTGAAACCCTGCTCTAAATCTTCTTTTGCTTTGAATCCCCGAAATCCTGCGAGCACAGACTTCACCTCGTTTTGAACAAATCCCTCGTCCTTAAAATAAGTGGGAAGAAACCCTTTAGCGGTACTGTTCTCTATTTCCACAAAAAAAATTTGTCCAAAGTCTCTGCTTTCTTCAACCTGTCTTCACCAACCTCCGTTCCTATCTTCACGATTAGCTTTCAATCCTCCTGTCTCAAGCTTCCAAACCCCATGTCCTACTGCGACTACAGTAAACCTCCACCCCAAATACAGCTCTTCAACACGTTAGCCACACCCTCTCTCTACCAATCCGAACCCTTAACTCTTGTTGTTGGAATCTCCTGCATGTCCCAGCCCCTTTACCGCGGCAAGATTAGGTGGATTTCTCTAAGGCATAAAACCCATAAAATCTAATCCTCTATCGACCAGTAGACAGAGTCGACAAGGTTCAATTCAAAAAATGGAAATGTCCCCAAAGACCTCGATGATGGCCATTTTGAATTTCTATCTCAACTGGAGGAGTTCACAAATATTTTCAAATGCCACTCAAATACCCACAAAACTCAAAAATCCAAAAATCTCAAAATCCCAAAAAAAATTTAAAATTGAAATTAACCCATTATCACATAAAGCAAAATCTATCCTCCATTCACAATAATTTGCCGAGGTGGACAAATTAAAAACTACTTTAGCTCACAAAGAGTTAATGCCTAGCGAAAAATATCACTAGGATCCATTCTCAAATAATCTCCTGCCAATAAGAACATCATACGTGTCCTCTAACCGACGATCTACCGCGAAATGGCACCGCATGATAAATGGTTATGACCCGGGGCCCTCAGAACCGAGTGGTTTTGCCGCCAAATGGCACCACGAAATACCGGTTATGACTAGTGCCAATACGTTCCTTAGTGGCATCAAATCCTTAAGATATAAATCAATAGGATTTGATCGATATGGCACAAAGCTCTCTATTAGCTAAGGTGGATTCAAATTTTTCCCCTTAGATAAATATTTCCCCTAGATCTACAAGGTCCCCTTAGACAAAGCAACCCATGACTGCTGACAAGGATCCTTCTATCAGGTTGGGTCGACTACCTCCTCTGACTAAGTAGACCTGGGACCATGATGGATCGGGACGACGGAATCATGGGCTCTTGATTAGGTCCATCATCCATTCCCCCACCATCCGCTTTAAGTGCACGATGGTGAAATTTCTATATTTAAATATCAATTTTCTAAATCTCCAAACTCTTCAAATACCTATGCTTATGCTGCTACTATATGCCAGATAACACATATTTCTACGTATCTGATTGACGAATAGCCTTAAATCGAATGTTCTCTCTCGTTATTGGGATAACTATAGGGGCCTATAGGAAACCAGAGCTCAGATTATAAAGTACTCACAAAATGAGGGCGAAATCTCTAGGTAGTGTCTTATCTACAAATATATCTGTCTTCCAAAATTTACCCCAGAACTTAGTTCATTAATACTCCCTCGCTAAAGAAAAAGCAACAACACAGCGGGCGGAGGCAGGGCCGAATTTTCGTAGCCCACACATTCATTTAATGAAAATTTTTAATTTGCAATACTCCAATTAAAATCATAAAAAATTCTTTGATTTAAGTTTAAATTATTCTTTAACGTGAAGATTTTAGATCAAAAGAATGTTTTGCTTCATGTTCATAATGTGGACAATAAATCTAATCTCACCAGATAACAGCATTTAAACAACTAAAGGATAATAATTGAAGCCACCAATAATAAATCAATCATGAAGAAACCCCGTGATAAGCATCAACTACATGAATAGTTAAAAGGCACAAAAGATAGGATCCACCATCAAATTCCAAAGTCACATCAAACAAGAAAAATATATCAGATCAATTGGACTCCATCAACAAATGCAAAAGGAATTAGCTACAAGAAATAAAAAAGAACACAAGATATAAACAAAAGGAAAATAGATGGACAACTACAAAATCAATACATAAGCAACCCAAATCCCAAACGAACACTTAAGCAATGTAGAAAACACCAACAGATTCCAAATCCACAACCAAGAATCAAAAAAACCTAAGCCAAATGAATTAACCAACCATAACCTAAAAGGAAAACAACAAAAAATCAAGGACCGACAAGAAAAGAAATCACCAACCCAAATGCTAAAACCAACACAGGCAGGGGCGACAACCAAAGTGTACCAACCATCACTACCGGAAAATCATCCATTTCTGGCTGTATTTTTGGACGAAAATTGAGCCTTTTTCGGCAGTTTTGTAATTTACCAGCAGTTTTCCGACGGTTAAAATTCTGCCGCTAAAAATCGCGCCGGAAAATAAATTCTAGCTATTTTTTCAAGCGGCAAATTATTCTGGCAGCTTACCGGCGGGCTTAAACCGCCGGTCAAATAATAAAAAAAAAAATCTTAATGCCCCCGCCACCCCGCTCTCGCATGGCCGGCGTGAGCCAGCGTCCCCGTGCTATCGCGGCTGCCAGCGCCGCCCTATCGCTCCTGCTCCCGCGCAACCGGCGTCACACTAGCTTCCCTGCACTCCCGCTCCTGCGGTAGCGTCCCCGCGCTCCCGCTCCTGCGGTAATGTCCCCGTGCTCCCGCTCTTGCGCTGCTGGCACCGCCCTACCACTCCAACTCCCGCGCACACGCTCGTGCGCCTACTCTCGCATCGGGGGTGAGATTCGAACCGCGGTCATTTGTGAAGAGTTTCAAGTAACTGATCGAATTGCCGATTATCCAAATACATTTTTTTGTCAATATTTTTTATTTAAAGTATATTCAGACCAAAAATCAATTAGTTTTTTAATTATTTAAAAAATGAAACAATTTAATTTAAAAATAACAAATAATATTTAATATAAAATAAAAATTGACTAACTAATGAATTTTAAAATGAAAATTAATTAAATAGTTAATATAGGTTTTAATAGTTTTTTGTTAAATCATATAAATAGTAAAAAATTTATTCATTTTCATTAGATTTTTAAAAGCCGCCGGAAAAGTGAAAAAGTGGCCGGAAATTCCATTGGAAAACTCCGTGGGAAAAAACAGCCGGAAAAGCGCCAGAGAGCAGCCGGAAACGTGACCGCTGGAAAATTCCGCCGGAAATCAGTGATTTTCCTATAGTGCATTGAAAAATAGGAAACATAGAGAACCTGTCAAATAGGAAGCAACAACAACAATTTCAAACAACAAGGCCCCAATATAAATACAAATATAGAGTTACAAATTCCCATAAAAGCATGTTGAAATAGTAAGGAACAATGGAAGAGATTTATATAATGGAAGAGATTTGACAATGTAGTTTGTTGGGATTGTAAGATAATGAATAATGGATTCTTGCAATAGGAGGGGTTTAAGGAAATAATTTTCTAAAATAACAATAATAATAATTCAGATAATAAATAAGCATAATTAAACTTTCACCTCATGCCCCTTCATCATTCATTATTTTTTATATTAATGATTTCTAAACTCATGTTTTTTCATAATTGAAAATAAAATAAACACAACAAGGCATGCAATATAAGGTGACATTGCTCATAGAGGCATGCATACATGCCTAATAATTCAACACACAACATTACCACTCGCACCTATAATAGCTTACATAATAACATTCATACAATACACTGTAGAAAAAAAAGCATAAAGTATGAATATAAATGCTATTAATACAGAAGATGACTTTGAAGCATAAATGTATCCTTCTTTATAGGCCAGCAAAGATAAGGTGGCCTCGAGGCATAAAATGGTAAATGGGTTCAGAACATGGCTTCACTTTCAGCATTTTAAACCCTACATAATTTTGTGCCCATGATGATGTGTCAAGATGGCATATTGTTGCAGTATCGAACACCACTCCATTTGATCCCAACAGATGCACCTTATGTGCCTCAACATTTGTTATTGTGTGGCAATAATATACTGCTTTTTGGTAAGACACAGGATGACAAGAGACCAATGCCTCTGCTTCCTACACATACATATATTTTATATTTCAGTATACAATTATACATATCTTTGCGTTTAAATATGAATCTTCTTAATTAAAACTCACCACGTGCCTATCTTCTTTCGATCCGATCAAATATACCTTCTTCGGCACACCTAATTAGTCACCACCACCTTTCACAGTCGTCTCAATGACATTCTCATCTTTGTTGCCTATCTCAGCCTTGACAAAATCCGCCATGGCTTCCAATGATGTGACACAACGCTTTATCTCTCCCTCAATAGGCTGCTCCTCACAATCTTCCAATGTTTGCTGGATGGCTTTGGCTTCCATTGAACCTCATGTGATGTTGAAGAGGCCAAGGATTTCAGTGAGTTTGGTGGAGGAGAAAGGTGTGGCCTTGGCCATCTCGACTGAAAGGAAGGGTTGCATTGAGATTGACTTGCTGAGTTCGAGAGTCATCTTTGTGCCCACTTTAAGGCTATCCTTCAGGACGAACATCTGAGCATTGGGGTCGTTGTTGGTTTGCGTCTCTTTGTTTATGCAATTGTAGCAGCTGAAAGATTTCACATTATTTTGGCCTCTTTCAAGCTTGAATGAATTCATTTCATTCTCTGAAAATTAGGCACGTTGAAAAAATTATGTCAGATATCCTGAAATAAATTATAGGGAAATTTACATACATACCATTATATACTTAATATTTTACATATCTAACACCTCATACATTAATATTACATATATACCACTCAAATCCCTACTTTATTTCGTTTCTACCACTCCATCTAACGCCTCCTCACGACGTTTCTCTGCCTTCTGAACGACGTTTCTCTGCCTCATAATAAGGACGCGAATCTGAGAGTCGGCTAGGGCATATGAAGCAAGGAACGTAAGCTCTCATGCATTCTCTCATCTTTGCTCAAACTGATTTGTTTTGCCGGTCTTCCTGATGCATTCTCGTATTTTTTTTTCACTGATCGGGTTTGCTCAGAGAGCTTGTTGTCCGTCAATTTTTTTTCAAACTGATTTGTTTTGCCGGACCTCTTCATTCCGAAATTATTACTTTGAAAATGATTTTGTTAGCTTTTCCTAGGAAGGTTCTTTACCGGACTTTAAATTGATTTTGTTAGCTTTCCTAGTTAAAACTGAAGCATTATAGCTTCAAAAGCTGCAATATTTGCTTATGTAACGATTTGATAACCTTTTAATTTAAGTACAGATTTGCTGAAATTTTCTTATAAGTACAGATTTGATGACCTTTTTTTATAATTACAGATTTGATGAAATTTTCTTTCTTATTAATTTATAAATTGGTAAGCAATCTGCTGTTGTGCATATTTTCAGGTTTTGCAAAAGGTTTAATGAGTTCTTCGAGTTCTTCCGTTGTGAAAAACAGGCCGCAACATTCTAAGGTGTACTGCCATTGTCATCTAAAATGTGTCTTGTATACCTGCCACCGTGGACCCAATAGTGGAAGGCAGTTTTATTGGTGTGTTTATAATAGAAGTGAGGATGATTGCAGTTACTTTAAATGGGAGGATGAGCAAGAAGACCCATCTTATGTCACACATTACGAATTGAAGGCATATGAAGCAAGGAATTCTAAGAATTTTGACTCGATTCGTATGACGTTGAAAGTTTTGTTAGTGATAGTTTTTATCGACATTTTGACTCGATTCCGGCAGTAGCTGCAGTTCCGTTCGGATGTCAAAATCCGGTAATAGCTCCAGTTCCGGTAGTAGCTCCAAGTAGTTCCAATATCCAGGTTTTTCCAATATTAGCTCCAGGTAGTTCCAATATCCGACAGAATGGAGTATATGCTGCTATTAATCAGAGCTTGTAAAACCTGCTAGATATGGAGTATATGCTGCTATGAATTTGTACGGGTGCAAGATATGGCAAGAGGTTGTAAATCCTGCTGTTGAATTATATAACCAGCTATTATGGCAAGATACAACAATTGTATAACCTGCTGTTGATCAGCTTGTAAAAAATTGATATTCCATATTAATAGAATATAACATACCTATATTAATTGTAATCATATGAATTATATTCAACCTCATATTAATTGTAATCAGTAGCAGCATAACTTAGAGACCTTAATTGAACTTCCAAAAACACAAAGGTATGTGCTGCAATAGTTTTACAAAAAATTAAGACCCAAAACGATGTCATCCAAGAAAATCAGATGTGGTCTTCGCATAACCTCCCAGGTAATGTAGCGATTGCTCCGTCGTACGCCATCCGGTACCTAAAGCACTTGTAATTAGTACACCTAATTTTGTGTTGCAATTGAAAGTTTCATTTATGAAATGTAAATATTACCTGTAAACGTAGTAGTAATCATTAACATACGTATGCCACAACGGATGCTCCTTCATCCCAATGAAAGCTATGGCATGAATGCAAGGAAGTCCTGTTAATTGCCATTACAAGTGCAGTCTTTGCTCTCGACATCAACAATATGTCTTGAATGGAGGGATTCAACTTCGGCCATGTACAAACTAGACTACCGAACTAATAATTGTTCTTCTCTAGTAGTAATTTCTCTAATGTATTCTTCTGCATGAGGTACTAATTCACGGTGCCATGTCAAACTCGTCATCTTACGTGCGCTCCTTTGCTCCATGAGTTTAACACGAATCAAGTCAATCAAATCGACAACAGGTTTAGTTCTAGCTTCCACAATCCATGCATTGAATGATTCAGCAAACTTATTCGTATTGGTAGAGTGGTAAATCCCAACCATAAACTGACTTCACGACCACTTGTAAGGTAATGAAATAAGGTACGCATGTATAGTCTGATTTAAAACACTAAGTTCACATAGCTTGTTATTATACTCTATGCAAGTGTATGCATTCGCTGCTGCCCAAACAAAACCTTTCTGCTCTTCATATAATTTTTTTTCAATATTGTCACCATAAGCCTGCACTTACAATGGTTAAAATGTTATTTGAACATTTATGAAGTCTTGCATATGAATCATTGAACACTTACATAATCGGTAGTCTTGGAACACATCAGTATTTGTTTCAAACAACAAACAAGTTCCTTCAAATTTCTGTTTCAAACAAGAAACAATTTCTATTTCAAAACTTTAACTTATTTAAAAAAAAAATCTTAGGAAAATCATTTATCTCTGTTTATTAATGTCATGTTACTTTAAAAAATTTCTTAGACAAATAAGTGCATGAATCTCTAGAGCTAAGGAAAATGCCTGGAAACTAATTAATTGAAAAATCATTTATCTCTGTTGACTAATAAATCTATGACATTTCGCAGTCCTTATTACTGTCATTACAGCAACCTTGAAGAAAATTTGGCGGAAGAAATTACCGTGAAGAACAATGTGATCAGGAGCTTCAGATGGTGGAAAATGCGAGACGTCGAACGAAAGGAAAAATGAGAGGCTTAGCGGGGAATTTCGGCGGGAAGCAATACTTCCGTCCGTCCGTCACAGTTAAGGGGCGGACACAGAGAAACGTCGTGAGGAGGCGTTAGATGGAGTGGTAGAAACGAAATAAAGTAGGGATTTGAGTGGTATATATGTAATATTAATGTATGAGATGTTAGATATGTAAAATATTAAGTATATAGTGGTATGTATGTAAATTTCTCTAAATTATATTGTGATAATTTAAAAAAGTTGTTTAATTTGCATTTGAGTTTAGTAAAACAAATTTATAGATTTCAAATTTTTTCTCACATAATTTTTATTAAAAAAATTTATTTTAGAGAGAGATGGAGAGAAAGTGGATGAGGGTGCAGTAGCTCCTGGATGCTGGCAGGGATGGGAGTTTGCGGAAGTAAAGCTTTCCAATATGTTTGTGCTGACGTTGCTTCCCTCGTCTCAGCAAGAGATTATTAGGTGCGGAGTGCGAACGAGGAGAACCGTCCGCACAAGCACTATATCCAGCTAGGTACCGGCACAAGCTTGGCTCATTAGCACATCGAGCTAAGCTCAAGAGCCATTTATTGAGTCGACCTCGAGCCTACTCACGAGTTAGCTTGAACTATACTGGCTAATGAGCTCCTAATAATAAAGATTCCCATATATTTTAAGTTAAATTTTACATAGAATGCCAGATGGTTCCTTCTTATACAAGACAATTCTAAACATCTGTATGATCATGACATTTTTTTTTATATAAAAGTTAAATTTTAA